GCGACTGGTAAATGGGCGAGAGCGGCCCAAAAGAGCCTAGTTATGGTTCCTTAAACACCGAGCCATCAACCGTGAGGCGAAATGACACTTCATTAAAGACTGATGGTGGATCTTTCGCCGTCTGCTGCACAGCACCTCCTGACAAGCTCTCCTGCCCTCTCGCCATACGGTTTTCTCTTCTCAGTTAATTATATCACACAGATATGGATGTATCTAATTAATTCCTCACGTTTTCACAAAAGCAAGTAGAGCCAGTGGCAGCTGACTGGCAGGTGTGAGCCCAATAATCACTACTTTCTAATGTGGGAAAAAATTCAAGAGCTGCAGACCTTTACCCCTTCAATGGGCTGAAGTGTGGAAGGCTGTGGTCAGTGAAGATTTCTTTTGATGGCTATTGATTTTTCTTAAGTGTGCTCTGACATCCAGCCCGGAGCTCTTTTTATTTCACAGCTCAACAGAAAACAGGTCAGTCTCGGAGGAACCTGGGCAAGTTATAGCAGATAGAATTATCGCAGGTTTTTTCCTTTCTTTATAAGGTTCCATATTTGACTGTGCTGGGGAGGACTTTACAGTAGAAAGGCAAATGTTGGTCAAGCTCAATGCAATATCTGGTGGTTCCCTGTTCAAAATTGATCAAGGAGCCTATCATCTCTGGCTGCTTCTGTGCACCATTACCCAACCCACACTACAATGAACAATATGTTGGCCTCACTGTGTTTGCCGATTGCTGAAGAGAAGTTTGTTATACTGGGCACAACAAACAGTCATCGGTCAGCAATCTTGAAGGAAATGACAGTTTCCTTCTGCGGCGCGCATATAGTTTAGAGCAGGGAAGTACCCAAAGGTCAGCTTGGGACAGCTGCTTCTCAATGGTAATGCACTTCTTTCCCCTATCAGAGCATCTTTTTTGGTATGTGCTCATATGTTCAGGGTTATATAGTAATATACTGTATATATGTGCAAGTCAGACTGAGTTATTCATTTTACAGGAGAAACATCTGAGAAGATTAGATACGAGATCATTCATGTGCACAAGGAAGAGGAAAGTGAAAGGAAACAGGAGTTTCCAAAGCTGGAATTTAAAAAAAATTACTGAAAGATTTTGAGAAAGTGGGACTCCGAACACCCACGCAACACCTACAAAACCACGCCTGTACTTAGCAAAAGTTAAAAATTTCCAGTCCAAGTGGCCATTATGTTTTTTTTATTATTCCATTTAGTTATTCATTCATCGATTTATTTTTCAAAAGATATTTTAAGGACACTAAATATGAGACAATATAACAACAACAACAACAACAACAACAACAACAACAACAACAATAATAATAAGTCAAATGAAAGTACATAAAAAAACAGGGCTTTCTAAAACTTTGGTTCATCAAGTTGTTCATCCATTTATTCCTTTTTCAGAAGATATTTTTAATGAGACTAAATACAAGAAAACAGGAGTTTCCAAAACTTCACACAGAAAAATTAGGACTCCTACCAATCATGCAAGACCTAGTAGACCACCAAACTGTCACTATCAGATAAACAGTACTTATAGCTTTCATCTTTCAGGGAGAAGAGGATTGTCAACCCGTCTTTTGCGTAGTAATCTATGTTCAGTACACGTTGAGCGAAATAACAGGAACCACACAAACTGGCCTACTATACAATGTTCATCTAACTTGACTTCTGACTGTGACGACCCCATGATCCGTACAGATTCACATACCTCCATATCCATATTTTGAACACAGCCCTAAAATGCAGGCTGCATCAGACTCACACACAGCACCATGGCACTATAGACATGATAAAAACAGACTGGCAATCGAATGGTGAGGGGAAATAAGGTGGGGGTGCAGCTGAACAGATAGAATCTGTTCAGTTTAAACGAATGAAAGCTCTAGAGGCCGGTTAGTGCCGGGCCAGGCAGTAGGTCCCCCCCACTGGGGCTCCGATTAATCCATTAGCAGATGAGACGAGAGCAAGCTCAATGGACAGACAACACCCTGTGTGACACGCTGTGTGGAGTGAGGGTATACGGAGGAGACGTGAGGTCCTGGCGAAAGGCAGATGCCTCATCTGTCATCTGGTCAGAGGGAAATTACTGTAAAAGCCGTCTCTGAGGACAGGGCAGTAAGTATCCTTAGGTCTGCCTGGTGACACATCAATAAGTAATGCAGTAATGGACTCATCACTTCGAAGAGAAATATGGATGGATAGCCTAAACGCATAAGGCCAGCACAAACGACGCGTCAACCATAAACATGACGGATTGATGTTCGCATCCATTTCGCCACACAAACTCGTACGAGGTCTCTGATTTCCATATGTAGTTATTCTGAGCAGTACAAGGCCCTAGAGCCGTGTGTTTTTTTTTTCCCATGCACTCCCACTGACTTGAAAGCAATTCTATACTTTTGCTACAAAGAAATGAATATGCAAATACTAATTAGAGAGCTCTTTTAAGCACACACGCTTTCCTGTTTGATTTCTCATCGGAATTGACAGTAATCTGAAGCAGTTCATGTGTGCCAATACGCAAAGACAAACGATTCAGCGCCCATACTAAAATGCAAAAAGGACGGAAACAGGGGGGCTTTCTGCTGATTGCTCGCTCCACCGGCGCTGGGCTTTCCCAGCAGAGCTGCATCTAGGCACGGTGAACTTAATGGAATTTAAAATTCCTCACATAGTCCAAATCTGACTCTCCACCCTCTCTCTCTCTCAATTTTCAGTTCCTATTTATTGTGGCCGTTCACCCCTTCAGCAGTCAAATGTCATTCAGAATGACATCACTGGAGTGAAACCGCGTGTTCGTAAACAGAACGGAAAACACCAGCAGGCATGATTCAACGCTTACGCCTCATAAGTTGATGACATTTTCATTTAAAAATGTGCTACATTTTATCACCGAATCACAAATCCTTCACACAGAGCACTAACACTGGCCTTCAACCACTATAAATCAGAATGGGCCCTCGGAAAACAGTGAAAAGGTGTCACCCAAACAGCACCGCCATTCAAACCACAGATTAGTCATGGTGTTTACAGTCAAACTGAAGTGTGGGTCGAAGATGTGATAAGTGGAGGCTTTTAATCCAAACAGCACCAAGGTTTTGCTCCTGCATGAGAGAAATTAATTGAATGCTCAACCTCTGGGCTTACAAGGAAACTAGCAGCACTCTTAATCCTGACATGCATTTTACAGCAGAGCGCAAGGCCAGCATAACCAGCTAAGCCCAGAGGCAACGCTGAGAAGGGGAGAGCTGCAGGCTACGCAGCCTGGGACCACGCCCTTCCTTTTGTCAGGTAAGAACCTATAAGCCAACAGCAAGAGCACAGGGAGAATTTCCTACTCAGTGCTTGGTGCCTATGAACTATTTATAGCTCTTTCTGTATGCTTATTACGATGATAAATGGCTGCTGAAGGCTTCTTGTTTTCTGAGCAAACATTTTAAACAGTTGACTATTGTGCTCCATAAAGAGGCTGAGAAGAAGAATTCTTCTCAAAACTCTCACGAGGGGCTCATTTTCCTGCCGTGAGATGAGCTCCGCTGAAATTCCTCATATCGCATTTACAGTAATTAAACTGTAGCAAGCAGACAGGGTTCTGAAGGAATCAGTAAACAGAGCTATAGGCACAGCCACTGGCTCAGGACAATAGGTGAGCCCTTCAATTTTCACCCAATTCTTTGTGGCCGGTCATATCAGGCCTATTAGTCATTACTAGATCCATTTCTGTAAGCCTCCACCCCAAGGGTGGCTGAGGGAGTTTCATTCAACTGAGACAAAGGCGAGACTGTAGAGTAAAACTAGATTAAACTCACATTTAGAGAAAATGTGGCTTAGATCCACATCAAGGCAAGAAACAGTAACCTAAATGTGGCTTAGATCCACATCCAGATCAAAGGAGAAGGTAGCGGCGAACAGATTAAATCAGATCAGCAAATCTTTGCTGAGATTTTACGGTCGCTTATGATGGGACGGGATTCAATAAAGTCTCAGGAAAAAAAAAAAAGCCTGAACAAAGCAGCAGCCACCACCCGAATTCCCCCAAATGCCCAACACGGGCAGGTCTGACCACAACAGAGCAAACTCTGAACCAGAGAGAGAGAGAGAGCGAGAGAGAGAGGGAGGTACAGTGACGACTGACAACGAGAGAGAGAGAGAGATTACTGCCAAAAGTTTGGTAAGGATGACTCATGTGACACCCTAAGTCAGGCAATAGGCTAATGACTGACACAGCGCGGGTTCCCACCACGCACGCACACACACACACACACACACACACACACCCACTGCGTTTCCGCGCGGTTCTTGCTCACAGGACTGCCTGTCAGAGTTTGAGTCGAACAGACCAACTACAAAGAACTGAGCTCAACCGAGCTGGTGTGCGGAATGAATTAACGATGCCAGTAATATGTGACGTATTTAAATTAAGGTTCGACAGACAGGCACAAGTGTGAGGACTCAGATAGCCTCGCACTCGCCCTCCTCACTGCGGAATGACACCAAAACCGAAAGCTCAGAGTCGCTGGTCACGGTGACGTTAGCGATAGCAACAACAACGTTTCATTTCCGAGGCTTCTCAGTCAAACGTTCCGTCCCACCTTAACAAGGGGGCAGCCGCTACAGCCCAGGCGGTTCAGGTGCCAGAATAAGAGTAACCGCCGCACCATTTAAGGTGGAACGGAACATTCGAGTAAGAAGCGAATAGTTCACAGGGGTTTTTCTCTTTAGCGGTGTTATTCACAGCAGCAGGCTACTCTAAGGTTCACACATGGGTCTTCCACCACCGTCACCACAGCTTCCCCATAACACGCCGGGGAATTCAAGACCGTCTCATGCGCATTTCTGAATGACGGCACGAGCGCGTCGGTAACTCCTGAGGCAGCCCAGGAAGTCTGCTTCGTGTGAGAGCACTTGTTGATGTCTCCTCACATAATACAACGGAGAAAAAGTTATGTGGAAACGTCTGAAGGCGAACTTTCTTTCACACAGCCTACCTTGAGCAAACATCGCCGCCGCGAGGAAGGCACCGAAGAAACGGACAACCGCGTGCATCCTTCTCGAAGCCGGAGGAGGAGGAGGAGGTCTCCCGCTTACAGTCACCTGAGGAGCCGGAGAGCTTCTGAGTCCGACGAAAAAACGTCAAAGAAAACGACGGTGATGAAAAGCGTGTCGACTGTCGTCCCGCACGGATCACCGAGAGCGAAGAGAAGTTGTTTAGTTCAGCGCTGAGTCGCACTGAGAGGCGAAAGCAGCCCGAGCGAGCAGGTGAAGTGAGAGAGATCAGCGGCGGGAGGGGCTTTGAGGAGAGCGAGCGAGGAAGCCACACCCTCCGCCCCGCCCACTCAGCACACAGCCGCGCCCCCGCGCTTGGCGCTTCGTTTGGCGGGCGTGGTCTTTCCCTCAGGTAACATGGCGGCTTGTTTAAACAGCGTGGATAGTTTGGGATATTTGAAGTACTGTTTCAAGATTGGAGGGTTTGTTCATCTTAGAAACACGACGTTTGGCTTCTTGTGGTTTTTGTCTGAGGCCAACTTCACTATGGAACCACACAAGAGGAGGAATGCAGGTAAAAAGTGACATAAAACACATAATACAGTATAATACAATGCGATACAACACAACAGCACCCTCACAACTGGTTTAGGTGTAAGATGCTCAGTTTTAAAGGGGAATTCCACAGATTTTTTTCAAAGTTTCTGCAGAATTAAATGGTTAAGATGTAAACAAAGTTGTTCAGAGTGGGTTAGGTGAAGTGCACCATTCTAGAGAAAATTACCAAGTCAGACTTTTTCACAGTGGTGGTGATGGTAACCAGACGTCTGAAGTGGTTGATGCTTCTGGAAGCTACCTTAGAGAAAGCTCTTAAAGGAATGGTAGTGAATGCATTTCCTGATACCTGAGACATTGTTTTGTGATAGTTTTGAGAAGTTTTTGGCCAAAACATTTATTTAAAACACATTCATGACAGAGATGTAAATGAGAACGGCTTTCTGAGGCAAAGTAGTACCCAAAGAAAGCATTTATTCGAATTTACCACTATTTTACAAAAACTTGCAATTAAAAACTTAGAAAACGTGTAGATTCACTGGTCATTTTGGATACTAAATACAGTGGCTATTTGCGTCGTAGACATCTTGACCCCTGGTTCCTGTCTCCAACACTGTAAAGGCATTCAATTTCAGATTAAGCCACACTGAATGTGTTTGTTTACGTCTTAACAGTTAAATCATGTAGAAAATTTGAAAAATTGCCAAAATTCCTTTTTTTTAACAACTAACATCAAACTTGGTTAGTTTAGTATTCCTGATTGTAGTATGTTGCATCTGCAGGGGAGCTGTTTCTGAAAAATGGCTGATTCTTGAAATGTAAATATTTGGATGTAATGACTAACTCTATTAATCCAAAGTGTGGAAATTCCCCAGGGAGCCCTCAACCACTGCTGGCAAGGTGAGACCCAGTAGGCCTCTCACCAGAAACTGAAGTACTTTACCAGTTGAGTGTGGGATTTCCCAGAATGGCATGGCTCATTGTTAAATGACATTTGGCTACATAATGGCTACATATGCACAGTCTCGACAGGTATGTTTGTATTTTACTTTAGATCCTTGTTAAGTTGTTTTGGCCCATGGTGGCAGCCCACTCAGTTCCTCAGTCAAATGAGAGTAAATTAATTTCAGCATTAGACACACACCATTAGCCATGATGAGGACACACCAAGTCACGGTGTGTGTGTCAACAAAATAAACCAATCTAATTAGTAATTATTTTAAGTGCCCGTTTTCAAGTACAACAAGTTTGTATTTACTAGATGGTTAAATACCCCTTAGAAGGCTTCATAATCAGTGTTGAGTTAGTCTGTCAGAGCAGGAGTAGGACCTGACTGTATTAATTCTAATTCAGAACCATTGGCCAACAGAGGAATTAGACCTCTGCCTTTAACCCATCAGTGCCCATCCGTACCCCCACATACATGCACACTAGTGAACATACACCCTAGGGGGCAGTGAGCACACCTGCCTGGAGCGGTGGGCAGCCCTATCCACGGCGCCCGGGGAGCAGGTGGGGGTTAGGTGCCTTACTCAAGGGCACTTCAGTCATATGTCCAAGTATTATGTATATGCTGTTGGGCCCATTTAATTTCCCTGATTTTTATTTATTTATTTTTTTAATAAAATGGCTGTCATAACGAGATCCTTTAGGCCATGCCCTTTAATGTCTGGAGTGGAATTGATGGCGCAAGCAAAACAAGCTAACTAGTACAAAGCTATCATTAGCTAAGGGAACTGTTTTAATGTTACAGCAGGTAATGTTTATTTCTACTGCATGGAACGTGTTCTCTGCCCACACATGACACAGATCTGCAGACGTAATTCTGTTTTCTGAGGGGGACTTGTTACTAATGGGCTATCAACAGGCTTGTCAACAACACTGCTGAGTGTTAGATTGGTTTAGAAATTAAATCTACATTCCTACCACATTTAGCCGAAAATTTTTGACCCCAGAAACTGTCGTTACGAGATCACCCACAAGACTAGTTATGCAGTAATTTCATTGCTGTATGTATGCAAGAATTGTTGGGCCTGTCGTTACAGTTTCAAAAGTGCCCCGTTCACTGTCCAGTCCATTTACTTACACTAAGCTGCAAAACCCCCCATTTTTTAAAATAGTTTTTGTAATGTCATGGAAGCCAACTCGTTTACATATTTGGGTCATTCTATGTCCCGAAACGTCCATTTTTGTGTCCCTAGCATGTACAGATATATTGCATTCGAAAAACATGTTAGGGTTACAATTTATTTATATTTCAAAATAAAACAAGTTATTTTAACAACTACACCTTCTTGAGCCATCAGTTTAGCAATATTACTTTTTAAATCAACTATATAGAATTCCAAGCAACACAGAAGAGCTCGTCCTCACAGTCATGTGTAAAAGCTGAGGCCCTATTTTGAGGTAAAAAACATGTTTTACTGCAATTTTAACTGCAATAATCTATACATGACTGTAAAATATATGATTTAAATGACGTAAGTAAAACAAACAGCGAATAAATATTATAAAATATATAATGAAAGTTGTGGTCCCCAGGAGTCATGTCACTGGTGTTACTGCATAACAAAAAAATCTCTTATTTTGAAATGAAAATCACACTGATGACATCACTTGACTTCCTTTTGCCTATTTTCTGAGGATCTATGACGAAAAGCACATGGTGAGTCCACTGTGTCTTTCAGTTATCAGACATTTTCTCATTTAGCTCATGATTTCATATGAGGCTTTTAGTCAGTCACTGGTGTGACCTACTTTATTCTTAGATAATTTTGAAAAAAATAAAATACAAATGGATTAAATGACATATTTTAGTAGATATTCCATGACTGACAACATGTGGTTTGATGTTACTGTCTCTGGTGTTACCTTTCTTATGTGTAACAACAATGACGATCGGTAACACCGGTGACGCCTACAGATAGATAAAAAGTGGACGTTTCTGTAGAGTGATCCATCTGCCTATTCAAGCTACAGCAGTTTAGCTTCGCCCATTCATGCTGAAGTTATAACAAATGTTTTGACTGGGCAGACAGAACAGATTTAATTTAGATTGATCAGTTTTAAAGGCACAGTAGCTTAGCAGCCTGTTGAATTCAACAGAGGTAATGAGAGGTTGGAAAATGACACCTTAAAATGATTTTTTTTGCCACAACCGTCATAAATGGACCTAAAGGGAAAACCTCCAAATACAAGAGAAGTGTAAGGACATGGTTCCACTCTAACACGTTAAATACTCTGGTTAATGCCTGTGCCAAAAATGGCAAAGGTATTTCAGACCTGGGTCTCTGGCTTTCTAACCACCTTGTATCACCTGTTATCAGCAGTAGTTTGAAATGGGGACTGGTGATGAATATTCCTTCTCTGTTCATTAGATGGAAAAGACTGCATGACTGTCACATCAAAGGCCTCAATTTGTTAGACCATCAAGCCAAGGCCACCTTCACTACTGCCAGTGCTCCTCCTTCTTTTCTGTTTGTCATGTACACATTTCACTTTAGGCAATCATATGCAAATGCTTTCCGAAGAATGATGGCAGTATTTGTTAGGGAGATGGTGCAGTACATCAGAATGTTACTAGATCGTTTGAGCGATGACATTCAAAGAGTTGTTTTAAGCCTATTGTCCTGAAGAATAAAGCCGAAGCGGAATGCGGAGGAGCTCGAAAGGGCTGAATCACATGAGCACTTAGTGATTATTATTGATGGCATACCTGGAAGAGAATTCAAATTTCCAAGAAAGCCATTGCATGATTGCTTCTTAAGAAAGCCAGGATCTTCTGACGAGTCAAAATCAAAGTTTGAACTGCATTAACATGGGTGACAGAGGTGTAACTACCAGCAGTGCAGGCAGGAATGTTGCCCCGGGCCTGTAGTCGGGTATTGGGTGGTGGCATGGCAAACAGTGGCATATGTACAGTACTGTGCAAAAGTCAGACCACTCTTCATTGATTTAATTTAGCCATTAAGTAGCCATTAAGTTATTCATTTTGCAGCGGATATAAGTGAAAATAATGAGACAATTCAGAGGAAAATAAGTGGAAAAAGTTTCCAAAACTCAAGTTCAAAAACGATACAGAGACAATGGGACTCACAACCATGCATAACCTGGTAGACCACCAAAACTGTCATCATCATCATCAGATGAACAATAGTTAAACCTTTATATTTGAGAAAAAGTCCGCCTCCACTCTTGCTTCAGATCTGAAAAAATTCATAGCTTTTTCTGAGAAAACTCAACGATGCGGTTTAAAAAAAGAATCTGAAGTTGTCAATAAGCGTTTAGAAGGAAAAGGACGAAAAGAGCAAAAAAGTAGAACATTTGCAAATCAAACAAAGATACTGCTGGTGTTCTCCGAACAATGACCACCCCAGAGTCCAGACCTCAACATCACTGAATGTGTTTGGGATTACTTGAAGCATAAGAAGCAGAAAATGCAACCAAGTTCTAAGACTGAACTTTGGAGGTGTGGGAAAAATATCTCTGCAAATTTCTCCTGAAAAAAATGGAAGCTGTAATAAAAGTAAAGGGTGAACTTAATAAGTACTGAAAATATATTTGTGATATGTCATTGAGCTCTCCCAACTCAAATGTCTTAGTTTAATTAAAACTCACATTTTTAGTACTGCATCTATACTATACTATATAGAATATGTGTATTTTAAACTTCCATTATATTTCCTTACCAGGTAAAATGAGTGTCTCTTCCATTAAACAGTGCCACCAGGC